GTGTGTACTCCAAAGGTATTTTTCCTGCTGAAAGATTACACTTGTTGAAGAGACATATCACAGGTCCAGCATTAAAATGTCTTGAGGGCACGTTTTATCGCAGTGATGAAGAAGCATATAATGATGCGTGGAAAAGGCTTGACCAGCGTTATGGTCAGCCCTTTGTTGTCCAAAGGGCTTTCAGAGACAAACTGTCAAGGTGGCCTAAAATCCACTCCAAGGATGCGGAAGGTTTAAGGACATTCTCAGACTTTTTAATGGCCTGCCTCCAAGCAATGCCACATGTGAAAGGCCTAGAGATACTAAGTGACTGTGAGGAGAACCAAAAGTTATTACTGAAGGTTCTTGAATGGTTGGCAACACGTTGGAATCGCCAAGTCACAGTTGCACTCATGGAAGGTAAAAATTTCCCCTCCTTTAAGGATTTGCACAGTTTGTAGCACTTGAGGCAGAGATTGCAAGTAACCCAGTCACCGCATCACATGCACTTCATTCATGCAGTTCCTAGAGAAAAGTAATACAAGGGAGAGTAAATTAAACAGAACCACAACCAAGTCTTCACAACGCAAGCTGCTATACACACAGACAAAGCAAAATCAAATAGCACAAAGTTAAGGGACCCCTGCATATTTTGTAGAGACGAAAGGCATCAGTTGTCAAGGTGCCCAAGCTTCTCAGAGAGGCTCCTAGAAGACAAGAGAGCATTTGTTAAGGACAATAAGCTGTGTTATGGGTGCTTAAAGGTGGGTCACAATGCCAAGGACTGTCGCCACCGTCACACTTGTGATGTCTGCAAGGGAAGGCATCCCACGTGCCTGCATAACGAAGATCACAAAACAAATGAAAGGACCCCAAGCTCAGTCATCACAACTCCAACTACAGCAAATGGTGCCACAGCAGTCTCAGCTCTCAATGTCACAAAGGTGGGTCCATCAAATAGCACTTCCATGATTGTCCCAGTGTGCCAAATGCCACCTCTTCTGAGCTGTGATGTTGGACTTCTCATTGGATTTAATTGCCCCAGAACTCTAGCTCCAAAACAGGTTCTGCTTGGAAAGGATAATGAGCCATTTGCCATACAGACTGATTTAGGGTGGAGCATCGTTGGCGGCTCCACATCAGGCCTCATGAAAACTGAAACAAGCCTGTGCCACAGAGTTATGGCAAAGGAACTTCCTCCTATCACACCTATGGACATAATAAATGTTCTTGAGTCAGATTTTGAGGACACTAAAGCAAGCGACAAAACAGTCTCCCAAGAGGATCTCCTTTTTCTAGACAAACTAACGAAAGGAATAAGGAAAAACGAACAAGGACACTGTGAGATGCCTCTACCATTTAAACAATGGCCATTCTTATCAGACAATAAAAGGCTTGCAGAAATCAGACTCGAACACTTAAAGCGAAAGTTCAACAAAGATGAGAAGTACAAAGGGGACTACATAGCATATATGGAAGACATAATTGAAAGAGACGATGTCGAAGAAGTACATAATGAAGGATTACAAGGCGAACAATGGTATATTCCCCATCATGGGATTTACCACCCCAAAAAGCCCACAAAGCTACGCGTCGTGTTCGACTGCTCAGCAAAACACAATGGTACAAGTCTGTTCTATGTTTACTTTACTGTGCTAGTGGGCTGTTTTACTGGTTTGGAGACAGTTCAGCTATAGGCAGATTCTCACACATGTGCTCACTATGGATGTCTAGGGCAGTTCAGAGCAGCATGCAACAGTGGAGCCAGTGACTGCTGCTTGTTGACATTTCCCATCAGTCAAAAGCATCTTTGTGTACATGTAATGCCACTCTATCAAAAGCAAGATTACCCAATGGACAATATATATACATTAACCGTACCTGATAACTTGTAATGTTTGAAATAAGGTCCGGAAAACCTAGCTAACAAATTTAATCTTTAGCTCTGCAGTGGCACCTATAAACAAAGTGTTGTGCTCCATGACCAAACAGCCTTGATGGTAGCAGTTTAGGTGACCCACTGGGTCACCTTGAACTGCCTGTTCGGAGCAGGCCAAGTCATACGCCACACCACCACCGTAGACAAAAAAAAAACAACAACAAATATGAGTAATGCATTGGCAATAACACTCAGCACATGTGGTACGTCCTAATGTTTCCTAAATAAAGGGTATCCACAATTTAAAAAAAAGCTTTATTCCAAAGAACATGTATGTTTTACCAGTAGAGTACAAGCTTAGTCTTGTTTTGGTAAACTCAAACCCTTAGCTCATATATTTATCTTCATTATAATTATGATCATACTGGCAGAAACATTTTGCCCCCCCAAAAAGACTATAGTCAAAGACTTATAGCAAAACTAATAACTTGTGACAAAGGACGAGCAAAGTGCCCTTCATTTGTCTGAACAGGCAATAGTCCTCCTCCCTGATACAGGTCAGAGATTTAATCATATATCTTAGAAAACAAAAGATTGACCCTTTACTTCCATTCAGTTCAAGCACAGAGGTAGAATTTGTATATTGCTTTTCCAGCCAAGCTAAATGTATAGATGTAGGATATCTGTTTAGCACTGGAGTCTCTGCTGAATATTTGATGATCGTTTGGGTGGACTAACATTGTGGCTCCGTATCTCATTGCCCTAACAGACTAGTTTATATTTTTCCTGTAGTAAAATAGAATTACAAAGAGCAATAAAATTATACCTTTCCGCTGTATATTCATATTTAGACATGTGTGTATTTTATTATACATTTGACAATAAGAAGCTGGTTCACTGCCCACTGAATACAAATGTCATCCTCAGAATCTTAGTCTATTTTTATAGCACATTTAATCACTTCTTGTAAGCATAAAGGTACAATGAATGCATGTTGCTATTACCCAACGGTGTAATAAGACCCCGATCCATGTTTTGTACACACTGTCTGTTTACTACAGCTATAGTCATGTATATTTTTCACAGTGCTCTGACAGGTCAACTCACTACTGTTTCATCTTAACTGTGAGTAGAATCAAAACCTTCATATTGTTCCGAAAAAATATAAGTTTAACCGAACATCTACCCCCAAAGAAATATGAAATGTGGCAAAACCATCCCTAGAAACCAGGGAGGCTGCCACACACACTCTGTATAGGTTACATACAGCCCTGCTGTCCACATGCCTGCCACTGACCCACTTGAAGGAAGGCTAAAGTTAGACAGACTGGAGTTGCTCTAAATGGCTGCTGTCAAGATCTAAAAGGTCAACTCTTTTTATTGAGTCATTCTAAAAATAGTTTCATTTGAAATATAACAAACATGGCCATTTAATAATTTGGCCATTTTAAAATCTGCTCATACTATTACTGTACTTGCAGCTTCCTTTTAAAATGGAAAACTCTGGTGAGAATCCATTAAGTTAAATCATACCTCAAAGCAACTATCCATCAAGCCAGATTATAGACTGTTCTTAGTGGACAGTTATTGACTGGACATTGATTCAAATTCTTGCACAAAAACTGGATGACTGACTGTCACTACATTTGATCTAATACCTATATATACCTAATACTACTTTCAGTGATGATTATCTTCAGGATTTTAGTCCCAAGTGCAGTTTCTTGTCAGTTATGGTCCTGTTGCTTGTGCCTCACTGTGAGTACATTTCCACCATGTCTGATTTTCTAGTTGCTTCGTGTGTCAGTGTCTCTCTGTGTGGCCACTTAGTGCTTTACTCCACTCTGCACTCACCACCAAACAAGAGTACAAACCAGTCAGTCCTGGTTTCAGACCAGCTCTGATAACAGGACATCAGTGCTACCACCACCTCCTTTTAAAGCGCATCACTGGCCATCTTTGGACAGCCTACACTGCTTCTCTAGACTGTCAAACCCAGCCTCAACATACTCCAGAAATCGACTGCATGATCCTAGTTGTGCACGATGCCTTTTAAGAGACACCGACATGAAACATCACCCAACTTAACTGTGAACCACTGGCAAGTTTCAGGAAAGGGAAATTATGCAATTCAGTTGTAGGGAACATTGCAAGGCAAAATATGGAACGAGCAAAATTAGAATGTGGTTTACAGCATGGATACTTTTAGTTACACGTATTCACGCACCCACAACTTTACGCACAGAAATGAGTTTCCCCTCAAACTCACCGATGAGCGTAACCTAAAAAATATCCAGCCTAGGGTACAGAAAATATAAATTATTAATTACACATCTAGTAATTTGCTCGTACATGTTTTCGTGGCACAATGCAACGTCGTAAAACAAGTTATCTACCTTGTAAAGCCTGCGGGAGCGCATGAAGCACTTATCCAAGAGAGCGAGTTTCCTGAAGGTTTAAAGTTGTAAAAATCAAAACTGCGTTGACTCCAGTAACTGGTAAAGTGGTATACTTCTCTCTACAGGTGGCAATGAGAAATTTAAAGCTTCGGGTTGCTCCGTTTAGCGCGAGATGGAGGAGGGGATACTAGCCCCGCCTGCTCATTACTATTACTGTTGCGCAATAGTATTGAGGCTAAAGCTGCACTTAGTGACCAACTACTACAAGTGACTAATGGCTGAAATTGATGGAAAATAAAGCTGGACTGTCCCTTAAAGATAACAATCTCACTCACCACAGTGCTCACCTCAAATGTACAAGAAAACAGAAATCTTTCAAATGACTATTTTATTCACAAGAAACAATACTAAAACAAAAGTCTTACAAATCTAAACACAAAGCTCCCAGCTCTGGCATGGTCTTCAGGGCAGTTTGTCAGTGACAGCGGAGAACCTTAGGAAGAAGCAGGAATCAAAGAACCATCATATCAATGGCTTCATGGACTGCTGGGAAACAAGCTGGTTGCCAGTCTTTGCTTGTGAATAATGACAACTTTATGGCCAACTATAAACTTCTTTCGGCACATATGGAAAAGAAGAATATATATGAGACAAATGTGGTGGATAAGCAGTTTTTACAGAAAGCTGGGTTGAAAATTGTGTCAGTTTAGAGACCAAATGTTTCCCAAAAAGCAAACCATGACATCAGATATTTACTCCTAATAAATTATGCATTTAAAATGTTGGCAGCATGTAGTACAAGTGAGAGGTCTTTTAAAGCTGACAATACAAGGCCTCATTTCAGCATCAGTCTTGTGTTGATCACGCCCCTTTCTGTACATTATTCACAATATTTACAACAAGGTTTTAAACCTACTATTTTCAGGAAGCCAGCTTAGTAAACCCATAGCTTCAAATATGCTAAAGCAGCTCAAGAGGAGTGAAAAGTTGCTGCTTGCATGTCCTCCTCTACGACTTGGCTTCCAAAAGTGTTTTGATGTCTTTAACACCATGTTCTTCTGCCACAGCGATGATATGGTCCAGGGCGTTCATGTGGTGCAACATCTTCACAATCTCCTTAATCTGTTCCCTGTTGGCACATAGTGGTTATATTAGAAGCAGTATGGACATGCAGCCAAATCATTACAACATAGCTTTAATGTATTGATCAAGGGAGTCATTTAAGAACACTTTCCAGTAAATTTTACAATTTTTTTTTTAATCCTACTCAAAGCACTGTCAATACTATTCCAGCAGATGGGCTTATAAATGAATTCAGGCTCCCTAATTTAGACAAACCCTCCAATGCCGTCATTCCACTGCCACTGGAACTGTCCTGTTCCATACTCAAGCCAGATGGCTGGCTACTGGCCCGGGCTGCCTGGCTCCTTTACATGTTTGTGTTTCCATTGCACAGTGTGAGCATTGCTCCTGCAGAACATGCTATGCCTGTCCAGAACGGACATGAACAGCAGCCACGCAACAGAGCAAAAACAGATTCAACAAACAGAGTAGCTGCTGTATGGGGCTTCCTTTAATTCTTCATTATGCACTGCCATCTCCTTCTTTCTTTCTTTTTTAGAGTACAGGTGTCTTTCTTTGGCTGAGACACTTCCTGTTGCTCAGGTTTTCCCTCTGCCAATCTGAGTGTAGTGGCACAGATGCCCAGGTTGGGGGTGAAGTAGCATGCTTTGAGACCTGCGTCTAAGCTTTTCAGCCCGGGCACAGTCCGTTACTGAGACAATGAAAACACGCAAACACTAGTACAATATGGTTCCTGGTGGCAGTGGATTGATGGCTTAAGGTTCCATTACTAAAAGAGCCTCTTACTTGGCTGAGCGCCGTTCCACATCAGCACTGCCCAAACTACTCCGGTGCAATGAGCTGGCCAGGTGGGTGAGATAGCGACAGAATGGCTCCAAATGAGGCAACGTCTGCTGGCCCTTCAGCCCAGAGAACCACTGGACTGGCAAACACTCCACCACCTGGAAAAGGTACAGGGAAGGGAAGAGTTAAACACTAGCTCTGTGTCACCCTGGTGAGCAGCTGTGTTTGTCAAGCTAAGGCTGCCAGTTGTAATAAGGCACAGGGAAGTGGTGAAGATACGATCACACTGACCTGGCTGAGGGGCTTTCATTGTGCTCGTAATAATGTTGCTCTCTGTCAACATAGTGATGTCTCTAAACAAAATTTACGGTACTCCTAAAGTTGTAAATATATAATTGGAAGGTGGAAACATGAAATGTCCCCTTTGTCTTTGGTTTTAATCTTGAGATCTGATCTGGCCAGGTGAATTTATTTACTTAACAAAACAAACTAATTGTAGTTTCATCAGTTAAGAGACTAAACATAAGAACAGGTTAATATCCTCAAGCAGCCTGGCTAAGCAAGTACTTTTGTGGTGTTTACACAAAAAGAGGTGTGCCACTCCTACCTTCTGGCACTTCGGAACATTGTCCTCTGCCGTATCTGTGGTCTGCAACGCAGAGAGGATGTACCTATTGAGAGTGCTGTCCAGGGCGAGGTCCTTCAGACAGGAAGTAGATAAGATACCGTCCCACTGCAGGATGTTGCCCAGCAGCTACGCAAAGATGGTTAAAGTGAGTGAGTCTGTGCTCATATGCACCGACACAACATCACATATGTCATTATCCAAAATACCAAATCCATATCCACAGACGGCAGTGATGCCCTCACTGGTTAGTGTACAAATTATACAAAGGGCACACACAGTCAGATGTTTAACATCAGTCACAGCAGTATTGTAGAGAAGAGAAAAATCAGCTTTGTGTGGGTAACGTAAATCCACCCAGAGTTCTCTAAAATCATCTCCTTCCTTTGTATGGTGTAACATACAACAATCATTCCTTTAAAGAAAGCTGTTGGTGTCTGAATGGATGAGTTTGTTAATAAGCAACGCTGTCTTTGCTCGAGTTTTGCACATACCTTCACGCAGGACCAGAACTGCCTCTGGTAGAATAAGTAGGGGCTGCTGTTCTTGTTCTCCAACACACTGAGCAAGAGCAAAAGCAAAACACGCCTTTAAGCAATTATCATGTTTATCATGGAGATTAGAGGGGGAAAAAAACTGACCACCTCCAATGTTAACAATTGTGTAACATACTTTTTGGGATAGAGCGGAAGGAAGACATCTTCATCCAGAGTCCGCCTGGTCCTTAAGACAACAGCTTTCAAAAGCTCCTAATAGAAGAAGAAAAAAAGAAAGTCAAGATGACAGTAACTCTACTACAGGAGCCAGAATCATCTTTTACTTTACAGATGAAGTACATTGTTTGTAGTAAGAGAGTGGAAATTACCTGTGTGTATCGGTTGTCCCCATGCATCACAGTGGGGTAGCCTTTCATTAGTCTGTAAATGAAGCCTACCAGCCTGGTTGTCTGACTGCCTGACAGCGGGTCCCAAACTTGCTCTGCCAGCACTAACACACACACATACGCAAACCAAAACATAAATACATACATACTTTGTGCTTGTCATGTCAAGGAAACCTTTCTTAATATGTTGGCTCTACCTGTCAGTTTGCTGATGATGACCTTCTCTACAATAGCAGGCAGCAAGCCGATATCCCCATCTCCCTTCTGCAAAATGCTGTGCTCCTCAAAGCCGTAAAACAACATTGACTCAAACCAAAGCATGTACTCAAAGTTTGTACACTGGGCCTGCACAGGAAGAAGAAGAAGAAAAAAAAAGATTTCAGAATTCCTCGTCCCACTACAAAAAGAAAAACATTACACTGAAAACTCACATACAGACCGTACCTCGAGAGGGTTCCATGTAATCAAGTGCAGACGGATTAAGGGGTTAAAGAGTCTGGGCAGACAGAGGCCGATGTAGGCTTCTCTGTAGCAGTCGGCGTAGTCTTTCCTCCACACTTCAAAACGGGCTTTGATGCAGTCAAGAGAATGAAAGTCCTCCAGCACGTCCTCAAATACTTTCTTACTTTCCCGGATGATACGATCTGGAGAACACAGATGGTTTTAGTATGGCATGAGCTTCACAATGTGATGTGTGTCAACACATTTGCCAATTTTTCTCATCAAGGTTAATACTGTAATTTTTACAGCAATGTAATGATGAACCTTTCTCCATGTTGAAGCTGGTGATGTCAGTGGAGGTTTCCTCATCATCTGATGATAAGCCTTCTTTATGATCAGCCCTCTTTCCGTTCTGCTCTCTCGCTTGTCGCCTCCGAGTTCTGTAGTCACCCACAAGCACGAAAGGCAGAGAATTAGCACCAAGACAGATTATTTAAGTTGTGATTGACTGTAACGCATGCCTGAAAACATTTCTGAGTACAAATGAGCTTCACACCGTCGTGCTTCTCTTTCTGCTATCCTCCTCTGACGGCTGTGCTCTTGGTATGCAGTGCGATCTCGACCAAATGAGTCTAAATTAGGTGCCATGACAGCTTTATCTGCAAGAGACAGGAGCCATTTTAGAACTAGAAATGAAAGGCTGAGAAAGCCCATAACCTATTTCTTACCCTTGGCACTTAACATCTTACACAACAGAGAGTACTCAACAATTTATCCAAAACACTTAAAATAAACTACATAGCCAAATGTTTTAAACTTATGAAACAAGTTCAAATATTGACATTAGCCTCCTAATCTATTAGGCACCACCAGCAATAACACATAATATTCGTTACAAATAATTTTATTATTCTTTTTCTAGTCACTTACCTGTCTGCAACACCTTACACGGTACAATGAAAGTGACAGATGTCAAGTCACTAACAGAACATCTTTACTTAGTGACTCACTACTTGACCACCCAGCTGACTGTGAGACTCAGCCATTTAAAGAGTAGCTTTCATGTACATACACTCAAGATCATAGCTCAGTAAACCTTAATCACACTCACGAGGGAAATATAAGGGGGTAGTGCAGGAAACAAGCATGTGAATACACACACAGAACTAATGAGGCTGTTCAAATAAATCATAAAAACCTTCAAGATGGACTGACTTGAAAGGCTTGCAAACTCCGACGATTCATCTTTAATATCATCCTGTCTTCTCTGGACAAGTCGTGAGGCCCGTTGCCTTAGTAACTGGTGCATGGCAGCCTCCAGCTCCAGGACAGCAGGCACCTGAAAGATATGATGCCTTCTGTGACCTTTGACTCAAACAAAAGTTGGGCTCCGAGTCACAGAGATGTCTTGCTGGAGGGCACAAGAGGAGCATGACGGACAATAAAATACTGGAACCAACATCGCCAGTGTTGAGCGAAAACTCTCTCTCTAAAATTTCATTAAGTAAACCTTGAACACTGTTGGCTTATGTTCAGTCAATGGTTTAACCAGAAAATAGTGGCAATGCAAGTTAAAGGCAGAATTATATCTTTCAATGTTAATACAATAAAATAACAAGATTCGAGTTAAAGGTTTTTCCCCAACACTGACAATATACAGTTCCAGTCATGATGTTTACAGTGTATTAATGGACCCCATGCTGATAATGATTGGTTAGTTTCCTGTTTCCTGAGAGTCACCTATAGGATTAAACAGACCGTTAGAATAGTAGAAGCAGCTTGAGCACAGCTCTCTCTTCATTCCATGTAATTGCTGCTCTGCTGCTGAAGAACAACGGCTAAATTATTCAGTTTAACCATGTGAGGACGGGCAACGATTTTAGAATATTCGAACAGTCATTAAATTTGAGAAAGGGAAATTGAATATTTCAAGGGGCTACGGTTTTGTCTTTAAAAACGGAGCTACTGTTTTCCTTTGCTTTTACCGGTGCCTGGAAATAATGTGATAACAAGGTCAGTATATCATTTTACTACAGCACCAAATACAAACGGCAAAAACATGCAGAGACTACAGCCATCAAAACGCTCTGTGTGGACCTTCTTCAAGAAAATAAACGAAATGAAACTCTGCCAGGTTAAGTTAGCATACTGACAACTATGCACAGCCATTTGACGGAGAGGCATTCAGCAGAAAGTGGGTTGCGGTCCCCAGATCAACAGCCATTGGCTCACTCTGTCACCCCAAGAGGTCTGGTGATTGATGTATAGAACAAATAACAGCCCTCATCACAAAGACGACAACAAAGGACGTGCTACCCATCGGCTTCGTCGAGGGGGAGGGTTTTCAAAGTTTGATGGCATTTGTTTAGCAGGGGTATATGGTCCCATCAAGAAAAACTGTCTCTGCACAACCAAGTAAGAGGTATACTGATAACGCATGTGAGCTGCGTAGTCGTTTAAGTGTTGAAAAGGTGTCTCTGATCACTGATGCATAGACAGCACTTACAACTGAATCGTATGTGGCAGTCACCTGCCTTTGTACAAGCACCTGGAAGATACAGAGTGCTGTTCTTCAGACCAAAGCAATGCCGGAGTGGCATACTGCTGAAAACCTGCTGAATATGCTTTCCCCACCACTGAACACTGGGGACAGCATGCGCACATGACAACACTAGCAATATGGAGCTATTGGCGGTGGGCGGGGTGGGGAAGGAGATCCTCGAATAATTGTCTAATAGTTTCCAGTGAATATCGAATAGTACTTTAGTGCCCTAAGTTAGTTAAATAGCTATAGGTGTAAAAAAAAGTGTTTGTCTCAGAGACTGCTACTACTGCTGACTGTTAAATGTAAAATTGAGTAAGCCTAAATAATCATCAACTCATTCACTCTTGGGCTATGTACTCTGCACCATCCCCATTAACTTGCATATGCATCATTAATTTTCCTGAGCACACCTTTATAACTTAGGGGTGTTTTCACATTTGGTCCTCCAAACGCGCTCAGACTCCTGTGAAACAAAATGAACGGAGACCCCCATCGGGAAGTGGTCTCAGTTTGGTTCTTTTCAAGTCCACGATGCGGTTTGCTTAATCTGTGCACTGTGAACACGAACACTCCAAGTTTGCCTCTAGTCTTTTGAATGTAAGGGAGGAAATACCAGAAATCTGTTCAACTATCTAGTGAAAGTCCATCACAGAGAAATGGCAGTTTTCCACTGCCTAGCTCGTAGTTTCTCTCCTTGCCCAGGTACGTTAGTTATTAAGCAGCCTTGAGCCTGCGAACAGAGATATAACCTAATATATACGAATATGGGTTAAGGAATAAAAATAACCATTAGCCAATTGACTGCTGTTGGTTCACTTACAAATTCAGTCTGTACTGGTCATAGTATCATGTGAGCTGTCATTCAGAAGTTCAGTTTCACTTGAGAGCACTCAGAGGAGGGGTGGATATAATGATTTGGGAGTTGGAGGCACCTCGAAGTAAAAGTAAAAAGTCTTCTGCTCTTTTTTTTTTTTTTACACTTCATTAAATCACATTATAGTCAAGTGGTTTGTTTAAAACAATGTGGCTACGATACGTCTCACAGATATGTTTTGCATAGTTTGGCACCGGAGACTCTTCTTTCTGATTGTAAAATAAAGTGCTCCCAAACTTTGGATGACTGGCCGTCCACTTTCCTCTGCTGTAACCATGCTCACTACTATCCACCACGAACAGCACTTTTCAAATGTTTCGATATGTCTCACCGACGCAGTCACCGACCCAGCCATCTCACACAGCTACGTGACTAGACCCAACTAATCAATAATCATATTCGTTGACAACTATTACTATTGAATTAACTGATTAGTTGTTGCAGCCCTACGTATAAAAATGTTGTACACTTACTGTGTGACTGACTAGTATAAATTTTCTGTTTAAGTAGCTGAAACCTTTACACAATCTGATTTATACTGAACTAAGTGTATTTTCTTTATATACATAAGCCATTTGCAAAAGCATGGAGCTGAGATAATGCATCAAAGTTACATTTTTGACTAAAAAGAGAGTAGTTGTGATCAAACTTGATCCTAACATTAGGAGTATTGCATTATTAGAGACGGACTGATTGCAATTTTCTTGGCCAGTTCCGTTTTTTTGTTTCTAACTGTAACTGACAGCATACACAGACATCTGTGTAACCTTTCTTTAATAAAAAATTTGATCATTATAAAAATAAATAAAT